AATTGCCTGAACATATGTCTCGTTCCTGGGATGACTATTCCAGCTAGTTCGGATAGCAGTGGAGTGAGGATGCAGTATTTTGGCTTCAGTGAGAAGCATGCATTTACTGCACAGCCCTTGCTGGACTCAGATACATAAGTGCTGAAGCTGTACTGCATGTAAGAGCTACTCCCTTCCTTTCCTTATGCTGACTGAGAGCTGTAGATGGTCCTTGCCACAGGCGTACTTGCATGCTGTGCTTCTTGGAGTTTGGCTGGCTTCTGAGTGCAAAATAGATTCTACTAATGAATTAAAGGAAATTATGTTGCTGACAAATCTTTTCCTAGGAATGAAAGGGCAACAACATCTGCCGTTGGCACATGCTCTTCCCTCTCCCCAAAATGGCAGGGAAATGACAAGCTGCAGCCATGTTTCAGTGGAGTTTGACCTCAGAGTGTCTTTTTTATAGGGCTTTTGAAAAGGGAAGAGAGTAGGACCCTGTTTATCATAACACAGATGAGGAGTGCATGTGAAAAACACAAAAGCAGCTGTCTGAGAGGTGGAGTAATACATTAATGGACGTTGTTCTACAAGCAGGGTACTGGTGCCATGAGCCATGGAGTTTTGGGAGCTCCCCTTGCTGACTACAAAGAATGACAAGCAAGAGCCCCTTATGCAAAAATCCCTTTGTCCCCTCTATTCCACCTTCAGGGAAGCTGGCAACAGCACCTACTTTATAGCCATGGTGTTAGGGAATGCTGCAGTAGGCACTCCCCTTTCCACACCAAGTCTTTCCACTGAGAAATGCTTCCATTTGAGAAGTCAGCCTCAGTTGCTCCTATGGTGTTTTTAGGGAGCAAATATTTTCTGAAGTGCTGACAAGCACAGATCATTCTTCCTTCCACACTTACAATGTCTTTGTTTCTTCCCATCAGGTGGTATATTTCTCTGCCACTTATCCCTATGTGATGCTGCTTATCTTGTTCTTCCGTGGTGTAACACTGCCTGGAGCAAAGGAAGGCATTTTATTCTATATCACTCCTAACTTCAGTAAGCTTTCAGACTCTGAGGTAAATATTGCACCTGTGGTTACAGAAGTTTCACTGCTACCTGTGCCCCTTGCAGACATCTGACCTGCTCCTCAGGTGCAGGCACAGTCTTTTAACACCATTCTTTCTCACAATCAGGTTTGGCTGGATGCTGCCACACAGATTTTCTTCTCCTATGGTTTGGGTCTTGGTTCACTGATTGCCCTTGGAAGTTACAACCCTTTCCACAACAACGTTTACAGGTAAGCAGATGACTGCACTTATTACCGTGGCACCTTCCTGTCTCAGCTGGAGCTGGATTCTGTCTTTCTGTGACCTGTATCATTGAAATAAAGTGTAGGCTCAGATCTGAATATTAAATGTTACATCTAACTAGGAATGGGATGTATAACCACGGTTACACTAAAGGGAGAGACAGAATGAAATGGAACCCAAACAGAAATCCTAAAGGCATGAAATCTTTTCACAGGAATATACTGATGAACGGCAGCACTGCTTTACCTGCTGCTTAAAGCACCTTACCTTTCTTTCAGGGACTCCATCATAGTGTGCTGCATAAACTCATGCACAAGCATGTTTGCTGGCTTTGTCATCTTCTCCATTGTTGGATTCATGGCTAATGTCACAAAGAGGCCTATTGCAGATGTTGCAGCATCAGGTATCCAATGTATTTTTCTATAAGTTGTTTGGTGGCATCATTTGGTTTTGGTTTGTCTGTTGTATCCAACTGCTTCATGTAATGGTTCAAAACCCCTCCCTCGAAACACTCCTCAGCTCCCTGTCAGTTCAGTCACCCTGACTGCAGAAGAGAGAGCATCATTTCCAGGCACCACCAGCAGAATCACTTCACACTGAGCAGAGCTCTGCCTGCCTGCCTTGTGCTCTCAAATCTTTGGTGTGGAGAGTATTTCAGCCAGAAACTCATCTGGGCTGCACAATGAACACTGACTGCTACTTACAGGTGTGCGTTCACAAGAGGTGGCAGCACTGTTTGTGACTTCCGTACTCAGCTCAACATCAGGGTGACCCTCATGCTACTGGAATTCTTAAAAGCAAACTGAAAGGAGGAATGATGGTCAGGAGGGTTTTGGAGCCTGTATTTTCAAATTCATTTGGGGTTTTAAATTCCTTTTACTGTTTCTTGTGGTTGAGCCTTTGGAGATGGATCCATTTCTCACCTCCTCACACTTCCAGCTATCACCAGATTTAATGGGACTTTTACTGTGAAAGTGGTTTTGCTCAGGGCACTAAGATGTCCGTGCAGGAATTCTGCTATTCTTTGCAGTTCCTTATCTTTCTTGCAGATGAAAAAGCTTAAAGGAGGAGAGCAGATGGCTGCCCTAACCCAGCTGGTGTACCAGATACTCACTTAGCAATTTTGGCCACAGGGAGGGATCTGATAACTGGAAGCTTGGTTGGAAGCCACTGGTGGACAAAACATGCCTTACTATACCAGCAAACATATCCACTTGGTGAAGTATTTCCTTTGTTAGAAAAGGAGAGAATCAGAGACCTAAAAATAATCTTCAGTAAAGGACACATACAAAGACAGGAGAAGAAACAATTTGGATGGCACACACTGTTGTCAAAAACTGCTCTGTCAAGTCAGTGGTGTGTGAAATAAGCCTCTTGGATATCTGACACAGATAGAACTATAATGATTACACCTGCAAACACAACAATATTTTTATATCCTATTAAGCTCCTAAATACTTTGGAAGGTACCAAAGGTAACAGAGACGCACATCACCTCCTGTGGCCACAAATTGCAAAGGATGTTTGGAAACCTGACCTTTTCATTAAGGCTTCTATTTCTCTGTGTAAGCTCAGAAACTGATTCTTCATTTTTGCACCACGAGATGTTGCTTTGTGATCTTTTACACAGCTTTGTAAGATAACAATATTATTAAAAGCTGCAGCTGCATTTTGGTGGAATGTGTAACAGAGTCAAGAACATTTATCTCAGGTTGATATTGCTCTCACCACTGCCACTGGAAGGCATTCCAATCATAGGTGCAAATGCTTCAAAATCTGCATTGCATTTGCTTTGACAATTGAGGTGTGTAAGGCCAACCCTTCACTGGTCTGAGAGCTCTGTATGTTCAACCAGTGCTCACAGGCAAACCTCCCTCTCATGAAAGGAATGGGATGCCCCTTCGGTGAGGCACACTGATTCTCCTTCTGTGATTAGTTAGTTTGCTACAGGTTTCCCTCTTAAACTGAAATCAGCTGGCTTCCAGCTATGCTATGACAGTAAAAACAGCTCCTTCTTTCTCAATAAGGATTTCTGTTCTTCCAACACCACGCCCCCAACAGTGCTTAGTAAAAACACAAATGACAAGGTTTGCCTGGTCCCAACTGGGTAGTTTATTCAAATGTGTATTTTAAGGTAATTAATGGAACAGGAAATGGGAATGCGATAAATGCTGGTAGCGCCTCCTCCATTTCTGATCTATCTTTGTTTCTCTTCTGAGCTACTTGGTGCCAAGCAGTAGATTACAGCTCAATTACTGCTTGAGGGAGAAGGTTGATCAGCACCTGAAGATGTATTCCTACAGGATAACATTCCCTGCCTTTGCTATACGAAAGTTGTCTCTCAGAAGCAGTTTCTGAACTGCATCAAGTCTTTTGGTTAGTGGGTTTGGGTTTTTGTTTGTTTTGGATGGTTCATTTTAAAAGCAAGATGCATGCACTGACTTCTTGGTCAGTGAACACTGATGAAGCTGAAATCCTTGATCAGATGATGCATTCATGGCTGAGTCATTCAAATACGCCGAAACGTTGATAGAGCACATCATCACACTGCTGGTCAGTCACACTGACATCTCCTCTCCTGTTTCTCCCCCAGGCCCTGGACTGGCATTTCTGGCTTATCCAGAAGCAGTGACGCAGTTGCCCATTTCTCCTCTTTGGGCAATACTGTTCTTCTCCATGTTGCTTATGCTCGGGATTGACAGTCAGGTAAAACTGGTGTAATAACTGTTAACATTTTCTGCAGCTGCACGGTACAAGGTTGGTGCCTCTCTGCATACTGCACTGCCAGCTCTAAGTGGTGCAAGATGGTTTCAGGAATCATCACATAAATGATAGGAGGTATTAAGGAGAGGAGAGACTAAGTGGTTCCAGGAGCCTGGCATAGTGAAAGGCTGATATTGAGACACTTCTGCTTTTTCATGAACTGTTGGAAGCCTATAAAAAATGTGCAATAAAGTTCTTCTTTGAACTCTTCCCTGTTCAGTCACAATATTAAGAATACCTTTGCAATGTCCATCAGTGTAGGAGACACTGGGATAAGCTTGACAAGATTTAGATGCCACAAAAGGCGACTTCAGAACTTACCACATGGAGCAAAATGATGCAGCGCACGTTTCATTTTAAGCATATGAATGTCAGGAGCAAATTCAGGGGACATTAGGCTCATTACTGAGGACATTCTGCATCTTAGTGTGTTCTGAAATCACTTTCTGGGGTAAGGATCAAGAGTTCCTTGGTCCAGGCTGTAGCTGAGTTCTAGATGGTATCTGACAACTGAAGATGAGTGGGAGGGCACAACCTAGATGTTTTGCAAATCCAGATAAGCCATTGTTCAGTGTCACTGTTTAGATTAAATGGAACAATGAAATAATTCAGTCATGCAATAATATAAAAAAAAATTTACTGCAAAACGAACAAAAACATCACACAGCACAAGAAAAAGCACTTTACACACTCAAATGGCCTATGTCCAACAAAACCTTCGTTAATCAGTAATACTCTCAACCCAGAGAGCAGCTGTATTGTGAGCACCAGGAAAGCACTCTGTCTTACCTTGCACAGTGTTCTTGGAGGGCTCTGCCAGGGAAGTCCCTTCTGCTGCTGCAGTGTTTGGTGATCTGTGTATGACCCATTGCAGGCAGAAGTGTTCAAGTCATCTACAGCTGCCACTATCAAACCAGCACCTCACAGCTGTTGGCACAACCCTCAGAGCACAGGAAGGAACAGGGGCCTCGCTAGAATTCCTTAGCTTTCAGTAGAGAAAATCCATCATTTTCTATAAATCCACACTGACTTCAGCCTGTGAACAAAAATACACAAAGACCAAGAGGGCATTTCATCCTGCAACATGAAAGGGAGCTGAACATTTGTTTTCTATTCCTTTGTTTTTCCATAAGCTTTGGCCTTGACATTCAAACCTATTGCTTCATCTGGGAGGAAAATACTGTGAAATTAATTGGGTCAAAAATATTCTTGAAAGACCTTGTCTCTAGGCAACTAACAGCTGAGGAAGGGAGTCTGATGTTATTAAAGAGAATCTGTATCTCCAGGCTGTCATGCTTGCTTCATTTCTGTCTGTCAGTGAAACGTTTCATACACTGTCATTTACAGCAACTGTAACTATTGGTTAAGTTCTGATTGCACTGCTGAAAATGAATAGAACTTCACCTACATCTGGATTTCATCATCTCAGCCATCATAATGGTAACATTCATTTTGAATATATACATGCAGAAAAGACCTGCAGCATGGCCATGCTCTGTGTGTGCAGGTGCCCATCCTCAGCAAAAATCCTCTCTGGGGAATACAAAAATATCTGATTTATTACATATGAGGATCAGTCTTCTGTCTTCAAGCTTCACCCACTAATCTGATTACACCGTTCCTGTCTATTGCCTTTCATGTATGTGAGTCAATCACAGGATGGAGAAAAGTAAGTTTGCGAAGGAACTAGGAGTCAAACCTTCAACTGTAGGTCTATCGTCTTCTACCCCAACAATGAGCACTTTATGTTCATAAATATCGTGCTGTAGCTCACTGTTAGGAATTCTGAGTATTTTTGTGTCTGGAAATCTCACTGGAGATCTTTGTAGACAGAAACATAGATATTCAGCATCACTGCTCCCAGTGAAGTGAATTTTCATTTATCATTTCACGCCAGTGATGAAAGCTCCTCCCCTAAATGTAATCCTGCTGCTGTAGTGCATTGCATTGTATTTTATTTGTGACTTTTCTTGCAGTTCTGCACTGTGGAAGGATTCATTACAGCTTTGGTGGATGAGTTTCCAAAGTTACTGCGGAATCGGAGAGAAATCTTCATTGCTCTTGTGTGCATTGTTTCCTATCTGATAGGGCTGTCCAACATCACTCAGGTATGTTCTGTAGAAGAAGGTTAGCTTACCTCCAATGGACAGCATCTGTTTTATTTCTCCCATCCCCTGCTCCAACCAGGAATCATGTAAAAAGTTAATGTGGCAGAGATCTATCAATCATCAACACTATCTAAAGGCTTCAGGCAGTAACTTTGAAGTGTGAAATGCCTGAAGCCCATGGTTGCAGTTTGTCCTACTTCATGGTTCAGGTGCCAAGAAAATACACATCTCCCTAGTGTGCCTTACAGTGCCCAAAAGGGTTGCCAGGGATATTCTCCAATGCTGCCTCCCATCTACTGGACTGCAAACTATTTTGAGAGAAATAATTGAATTCTTGAATAAAAATGAGTAAAGTGAAATTGAAGCAGTTAACTGAATTCTAGCAGTAATCTAATGTTTGTCAGTATTGAACTCAAGTGTCACAAGCTTTCAACATGTTCATTTTCATATACATTAACATGTCCCTAACCTATTTGCTACTGTAGTCTGTAGCTTGCATTTTAATCTGTCTTGAAACTGGAGCTCTTGCTACTTAACACTTCCTTCTTATGTTTTAGGGTGGAATCTACGTGTTTAAGCTTTTTGACTACTACTCTGCCAGTGGAATGAGTCTCTTGTTCCTTGTATTCTTTGAGTGCATCTCAATATCCTGGTGCTATGGTAAACAATGTTTTTACTTTTTCCCATAATTTTTGCACCTCATAAGGATAATTCATCTATTGATTTGTTCCTGTGTGTGTGTTGCCACGCTGAGGGGGGAACTGAGGGTGCCCTTGTTTCATATGCGTGTAATTCCACTCAACGTTGCCTTGTGGAAGGTCCTTCTGCCTCTTTAAAACACCCCATGTGTAAGCCTAGAAGCATTAGATACTAAGTTTTTCAGGAATACGAAATAGGTGACATCTCTCTCTCTTTTTCCCGTCCCCCTTCCTTGGGAAGCCTGGACATTCCGAGGTGTTAACTACTGCTGTTATTGACATAGTGTCTTGGGTCTTTTGAGCTCTGTAATGTTCAACTACCAGAAACAACTCAGTCACTCTAAGACCTTGTAGCGAGAGCCAAGCTCCTTCATCACTTGAATCTTCATAATTGCCCTAAAATATCCAGAAGTCTGGACTGGCAAGCTCTGGGTGCAAAGATTGATGAATAATGTATCACCTTCTTGCCAGAGTATTTGTGCATTTGACCTTAGTTCTGTGTTAGCTCATCCAAGGACCTACTCCGTGATTACTAAGGCACTTCAGTTTATACGACAAAACTGACTCAGAGCTAGATAAGTGAAGTCCTTCTGCTTAAGAGGCTAGAACAGCATTTTTTAGCTCAGAGATACCACATGTGAATCCAGCAAATACGAATGGAAAAATACACCAGCTAAATAATGAAGAAATCAAAGCTAAAAATAAAACCATTATTTATTTTTAGAAGATGCTGGAGTGCTGGTAGGTAGCAGCAGCAGCAGCAGAAGGGCCACTCCGATTTCATACACAGCTCTGGTGTGTGTACAGCCACACAGGGGAAAGCTGCTTAACACAAGGATGGGTTTGGTTTATTTTTAATTGAATTGGTAAAATATCATTCTAAATCTCTTGTTCTAAGAAGACTTAGAGTTGAAATGAAACAAGTGTGTTTGCTGCATCTGACCTTCAGATGTACAGACTTCCTCATGGGAAGAAGTTTGCTGGTCACTAATTACAATGTGCTGCAATGAGAGCAAATGATTCTCAGTGCTTTCAAGCTGCACTTTTCTTTCCCATTCAGACTGGTGAACAGTTATGTTGGGGTCTGTACAGAGCTTCCAAATACACCTCATCATTTATGAGAATGTCTCTCAAAACAACTGAGCCATCAGCTGTCTCAGTTACCTGACATGTTCTTTACTGTTTCTTATCTCTCTATTTAGGTGTTAACAGATTTTATGACAACATCCAAGAGATGGTGGGATACAGACCCTGCATCTGGTGGAAACTCTGCTGGTCATTTTTCACTCCTATCATTGTGGCAGTAAGGAACCAACTTTTATTATATGATTCAGAGGATGTGAATAAAGTGGCCTGAGTACTACAGTGCGCTCATTTCCATCCCCACAGGTTCAGATTAGCTCTGACCTCATTCCATTTGAAGGATTTGAGCAATTCCACTGAAGGCAATAGGCAAAACCCAGTGTCACTAAAGGAAACCTGTGGCCTAAGGCAAGAAGCCTGTGCAATTGCAAGACTTGTATTAGTCCCCTGGAAATGGTAACAAGTCAAGAGTTTGATTGGTAGAGATAGAAGAATGTAAGAAACAAACATGACCCATTTCTTGTATTCTTAGACAAAATTTAGCAATCTCTCTGAAGTCTGAATTTTCCATCTGTACAAAAATGCCCACACTTTGTAAACTGGATTCCTCCACAGGCACTACTGTGGTAACAGACTGGGGTTATGTGCTGATGTTCTTCTCTCATGGTATTCAGCTCAAACAACGTTGCTACTGGATTTTCTGGCAAACCTTCCAAGAATTTTGTGCACTGGAAACCACAGTACAGGCTCTTCCCTATTCCAGTCTTTATCCAGTTAAACCCGTACAGTACAGTTTGAAATGATTAGTTTACTGCACATAATTTAATGCCGTACTGAAAACTTGTAATCAAGTAGATACTATTGCCCATGACACAATGCTTCCCACTCACTGACATTTCTCTGGTAGCCCCATGTAATAGCGATAGAAAAGCAAAAAAAGATCACTGAAGCACGGCACAGAAATGAGTTTATACAGAGGACTCCTTGATTCTTCTCTACCCAGGTGAAGGCAGCTTTCATGTTTCTGAAGACTAGCATTCAGGAAGGCAAAACCCTGCATTCTGTTGATTTTAAATGATTTTTAATTTTATCAGAGATGGCTGGGCAGAACAGTAGGCAGATGACCAACACTGTGTGTAAGAACTTATCACATCTCTTCTGTCTTCTAAAGGCTTCAACAGAATTTGTTGTCCAGTGTAGTGATGTGCCAGTAAAATCTGCCTCTCTGCATTCTCCTCTATGGGAATGGGTTCTGCACAATGCCTGAACCTGGGATCAGAATGAGCTTCCTCTTTCTCTGGTTCAGCTCGGTTTCCCTGACAGAACAGGCCAGGATAGGAGCCTTGCTTGGGAACTTAAGAGTTAAAAAGACTGTATTTGCAGGTCATCTGTGTGAAACCAACACAAATACAACCCACGGGTGCTGCTCAGTGGTGCAGTGTACAGGGGTGTGCAGTGTTATTCCCCAGGACCCCATCTTTCCCAATAGCCCCCTTCCCTCTGATTTTGTGCAGGTGATCTGAAGACTCTACTAGTACCAGTGGATTCCCCCTCCCAGCGTACCTGGATAATCTGAGATGCAGGTTATGTATGTGAAAATAGAGTTGTTAACTTAAAACATGAAGATTAATTCTGTTAAGAAGCTTCTTGGGAAACTGTCTCCTCATTGCTGAACAATTCAGAGTGGGTTTTGAGTTTCACAGGCTAGGATCTGTTACAGACAAACCTGTAACCACTTAACCGCAGGTTCCATTCTGACTGCCCTTGTTTTCCAGTATGAGTTTGTTCTGAGGATCTGAGCATTATCAAAACCTCTGCACCAAGCACTCTTAGGTGTTGATATTAGAGATGTCAATGCAGAGCCAGGCTTGAAAGAGCCTCCAGGAGTGCATTGATGGCCAGTACAGTAGAGCTGTACTGATACCATTACTCCAATAAGAAATTTTTTGGAAACAGACAAACAGTTCCATTCCATGTACACATTCCATACTCAAGGTTAACTGAGCAGGGAAGTGGTCAGTGCAGAGGACTGATGTTTGCGTAGTTTCTGCAACCTCCACTTGGAAGAGTGACCTGCAGGCCCCATCTACAAGCCAATGCCCAGCAACCATCACCAGGGATCAGAGGATCCTTGCCTCGATGGAAAAGTCAATCCAGAAAAACTCTTGAACAGAACACTCTGGAAATCTCATCCAAATCTTCTTTTCCACTGTATTTTGCAGGGAGTCTTTCTCTTCAGTGCTGTCCAAATGACTCCACTCACAATGGGAAGTTACGTTTTCCCAAAATGGGGCCAAGGGGTTGGCTGGTTCATGGCTTTGTCTTCCATGGTGCTGATCCCAGGCTATATGGCATACATGTTTCTAACCCTGAAAGGCTCCTTAAAACAGGTAAGTCTCTTTTTTTTTCCTGACTGCATGATTTCACCTGGCGAGACCTGTGCACACTGATCAGAGGTTGCTGGGCAGGTCTTTCCTACTGTCTGTTTCCTGTGGCCATATTTGCTTAGCCCAGTTAATTTACATTGAGCTGAAAAACATAAAACCAAGGACCAAACAGACCAAAGATAAGGCAGTGTCTGTACCATCTGTTGTTAAACACAACTCCTAGTATCAAGTGTCCTTATCTCTGGGCTTTGAGAGTTCCAGATGCTTTGCAACCCAGCTCCTTACACCCAGAAACCAAAGTAGCAGTTTACCAAGTATGTTCATTTGTCCTTACTAACAAAAGCCATGCTGTCATGTGTCAAGGCAGGTGATGCTCTAAGGGATTGGAATCAAGCTGAAAACTGTACTAAACACACATAACTCACATTTCCATGAGTCTGCTCACAGTGATCCTATTTAGCATCTCCCTGCAACGTGTTGTAAGTTACACCTGGTTTAAGTTACACTCCCTGCCTTTCTCTGGTGCAACTCAGAGGAAGTACGTGTAAAATCTCAGGAGCATATTTTATGACTATGCTGTCCTTCCCTTTAGTCTTTGAGTGATTTCTCTGTGAACAGTTATTTCTGAAGAGCATTAGAGACCTTCTTCCCATGGCACTGTGCTTTTAGCTTCTCCCAGGTTCCTTATCCCATCTGTTAAAAGGAGATGACACTTCCCACATAAGAGATGCTTAAATCTGTTTTAGGGGCCTTGGAGAAGTGCTGCTCAAGGAATGTGCGCTGCTCACGAAGTTATTGACCCCGCACACTGCCCAGTAACCACTTGGTTTTCTTTAGGTTGGGTGCATCCTCAGTTTTCCTTCTCAGCCAATAATCTCTCTGTAGCAGGCTCTTTTCCAGCACAAGGGTTGAAACGCGCATCCCCGTCCTCTGTGGTTGGGGGAACCAAAGATTGTCAGAATGAATCTGTCAGGGTTTCTGGAACATTCTAAAGTCAGCTGACAGAGCTCTCTTTGCAAAAGGACAGGTGATCCTAAGCAGAATTGACGAGCAATGCTCACACCTTCAGCCAAATATTTGTCTTCAGCAGATTTTAAAAGACTCCGTGTCTTTTTCTCTCCCCTGCTTGTCCTTAGCCCCTGCACTTTGAGCAGCTTTCCTTTAGTTCGATGGAAACGTTTACCTGCAAACAGAGAATTGTTGCCCTAAGATACAGCTGCTTCTTCGGCAGACTTGTGCAAGACCACAGTAAAAATTCCTCATCTCAGTCTTGCTGTGGGTTAAGGTCTCATTTGTGAAGCACTGACAAATGATCATTAGATAATAGAAGGAACCTACAACATGATGATAAAACCTGGGCTCTAGATGCAAGTTTAAGCTAGGCAGGTACTCTTCCTGAGTGGAGAACACAAAAGGACTAGGAAAGACAGAACCGAAGTAAAGCAATCTGCACTACAAGTCTACTTCACTTCTATCCTTGGAGGCAGTAACTCCCAGAAACTGCTGCCAACACTCTAGTCCCCTCTGCTCCCTGGGGCAGTCACCATCAGGTCTGCAATCCAGCTTTGAGTTCCTGCTGCAGCCTCTGTGCTGTGCCTGTGGCTTGCTGCAGTCCCTCCTCTGCCCCACATGGCCTCTCCTTGATTCTGTTCCCCAGGCATGCTTGGCTGGGAATGCCAGGGGCACAGGCTGCTTTGCAGGTGGTCTCCAAGCTCACCGTCATATCCAGAACATAGCTAAGGCTGTGGCTCACTGCCTTTTTGGTCCCCAGGGAGAGACAGGTTTTTCATTTTCATAGAATCACAGAATCATAGAATGATTTGGGTTGGAAAGGACCTTAAGGTCATCAAGTTCCAGCGCCCTGCCATGGGCAGGGACACCTCACACTAGACCATGTCACCCAAGGCTCTGTCCAACCTGGCCTTGAACACTGCCAGGGATGGAGCATTCACCACTTCTCTGGGCAACCTGTGCCAGTGCCTCACCACCCTCACAGTAATGAACTTCTTCCTTACATCTAAACTGAAATTAGCTCTAATTCCTGGGCAGAAGTGGTTCGGGTTGCCTTTAAAAACCAACCACCCAAACCCCTGAGTTTTTTGCCCGCCTCACATTTATTGTTCTTTCAGCGCATCCAAGTGATGATTCAGCCAAGTGAAGACATCACTCATCCTGAAAACGGGCCAGACCAGGCCCAGCAGAGCAACTCTGCAAACAAAGAAGCCTACATCTAAACTTCTCTATTGTCGAAGCACCAAGACAACTCCACAACAACAAAAAATATGGTTGAATATGACCACAAATTCATGTCCGAGAATATAATTACCTACCTCTAGTGGCAAAAAAAAAAGAAAAAAAAAGGAAAAAAAAAAGACAAAAGGTCATCTCCACCACAAGGGAATAGCCATGGGCATGATCCACCACTGCGCGAGCTCACACGTCGAGTGTTCTGTGTTCTCTGGCAACCCATAGACTGTTAATGTTTTTATCCTTTCACAATAATAGTTGCATATCTTGGAATTTGTAAATTGATGTGCCAAGACCTTTTTAATCTACCTTTTAGCAGGACTATTTGAAGTTTCGTGCTGCTGATTTTTAGTAGTTTATCACTATTTCTTACCGCTCAATCCCAAGACTGTTATTTCTGACTTTACAGGAGTAAAAATTCAGTTTGGAGTTGTTTTGTACAAAAGAATGAAGTATTTTGTAAACAAGTGATTTCCAGTGAAAGTCTGCCCTTAAACTTGGTTCCAGTCGAGGCCATTTGAAGGGGAAGAGTCTTCCTTCAGTTAACAGCAGACACATTCCTCTATACACATTCCTTTAAGCACTTTCCTAGTGCAGTTGAGTCCCGTGGCTGTTTGGCCGCCCAGCACAACACTGCTCTAAGTGCTACCTGCACTTGTTCTTTCAGGATACCTTTCGAATAAGATTATAAATGTCTTTTAAAATCCATATACTGTTTCTGATGAAAAAGAGCATGTATTTGTGAATCAATGCGACACAAGCCGCAGATGCTATAGGCAAAAATATGTCTCTTTTAGCAATATAAGAAATAATATCCAAGAGCTCTTAAAGATTCCCAGGAGTAAAAGAAATACCAAGTACTTGCAACTCGAGCTCAGAGTACTTGAGTTTCTATCGTGCTGTTACGATTCTACTATTATTGCATTGCCACCAAAACAGAAACCAAACCAATGGCCTCAAGGTGAAGCTCGTCCTTGCAGCTCTAACTTAGGGCTCGATCCACAACTGGTCTTTTGAATCTGTTCGAGGACTTTAACAGTTTCTCATAAGCAAAATATGAAATATGGCTCGATAGCACTTTGAAAACAGTTCTATTTTTATTTACCTATTATTTGTGGTGATGAAGGTGTGAGGGAAGTTGGTTCCATGCTACAAGAGTCTGCAGCGTGGGCTCGGTCGGCATTTGGCACACAGGGAGAAGGGCCGAAGGGGTGCTCCCAGTGAATCCTTGTGTGTTAAATGCCACGGCCAGCCCCGTGTGGTGTTTCTCGTTTGGCAGCTATATGACAGACACAACGGATCCTGGAAACTGCAGTAGCTGGTGTTTGATTGTAAATGACTGTGACAGAACTGTGCAATGAAACATGCTTTTCAGCAGATTTTTGTGCAACGTACAATGTTAGATAGCACAATTTATGTAGAACTACTACGTGAAAAACATGTTAACTGTGAATGTTGGGTTTTTCGTTGTTTTTGTCTGAAGGTGACAACCATATTCTTGCAATAAGGTATTACTCTCAGAATGTCAAGCACATCATTGTAGAAATACTATATATATATAATACACATGTATTTCAAACGGCATCATAAAATCTCCGAGTATGTTTGGTAGATTCTAAACTCTTTCATACATAGATCAACTGTAAAATACGATGAGACCTAAGCTACATCCTAAACAGCTATAGCTGAAATGCAAAAGTCCTGTAAGTCATTGGGATTTAGAGGAAACCTGTCCATCCCACACCAACATCCCAGATGATCCATACACATCCTAATTGTGACTTTCATTAGACTAAGGATAAAAACTCCAACTTCCTCTTTCTTGTTTAATGTAACCAAGTCCCATGTTGTTCTAAGACAAATGCAGTATTTAATGTTTGATTGTAAACAATTATGACCGATGTTTGACAGACCTGCTCTTTAGCAAAAAGCTGTACAAACGTATCATATAGCACAAACTAGTGTTGTAGAACTACTGTGTGTAAACTGTGAATAGCTGTATCCTTTTTGTAGTACTTGCCCTGAAAGAAAAGATTATTGTATGATCATGTAAGCTTTTTGCAATAAGGAAATATCTGAACACCAAGCAAATCTATCTCTATATAAAAATATATATGTAATATATACATATTCAAAAAATATATACAGAGCCTGTTTAAAAGAGTACAGTATTATTTAGTAAATTGCAACCTGTTCTATGGACCAAATGTAAAATATTTATAAATTAAGATGCATTTTAAATGTCTATAAGCGGTGTCATAATTAAAGCACGATTGTTATGTAAGTTTCCAAGAGTTTAGAGGACAAAGAATAAAGGTTATATTATACATTAAATGCTGGATTTTGCAGTGTTTCATTGGACAAAACCAAGGTGTGGCATTCTCTGTTTCATGTATTTATATAAAAATACATCTATTTATATAGACCTATACATTTAGACATATGCATATATGAATCCATACTATTTCTGTAGTTAGTACCTGCGCACCTTGCACAGAAGCTGCAGAGGCAGCAGTTACAGCTCTACCTGGCATCCTGCTGTGTGAGCACTCCTGCAGGGATATGCAGAGCACGGCCTCGAGCAGCCCTAGGGAACAACCTGGATTTGGAATGCCATTGGGGTAGGTTTCTGGGGATCCTTTGTGGCACAGCAGCATCCAAAGCCACTGGTTTTGAAGCTGCTACTGAGGAGCTGCAGCCAGTGGACTCGTGAAATAGAGGCCTGATAGTAAATGGACAGATTACACACTTATAAAAGTCATTGCTCTCTTTATCAGCTGCCACTACAGCGTGAGAAGATGTCAAGCAAGTTGCACAGCAGTCAGCCTTACATCTGCACTGCGCAGTGCCACGGAGAAGCAGAGTGCTCCTGTGCTCTGAATTTTGTTATCTAACGACAGAACTGGAGCAGGACATCATGCTGGGGAAGAACTGAGGCCATCCAGGGAACTTGATTAGAATTGCAAATGCTCCCGATAGAAGAGTCTAAAATCATAGACTTCAAAACGCTGACCTTAGAACAGAGCACTCCAGTGTTCAGGAGAGGTCAGATCCTGCTGCTGCTTATCCAACAGGCTGGGGAGGAAGGGCAGCAGCATGTAGGGATCCCAGACTGTCCTGGAAATGGAGGAAGGAGCAACTTTGATGCTGTTGAAATATAGAGGAACATTTAAACCGTCTTTAATGTTTAGTTCATGGACATTGTGGTTTGTATTCATGTCCTGCTGATTTCACACTATACTGGAAGACAGCAGAAGAGAGCCCAGTGCCTAAAGGGGACAAGAAGAAACCTGGAGAGGGGCTCTTGATGAGGGCCTGTAGGGACAGGACAAGGGGGAATGGCTTTACCCTGCCCGAGGGGAGACTGAGATGAGCTCTTAGGCAGAAGCTCTTCCCTGTGAGGGTGCTGAGGCGCTGGCACAGGGTGCCCAGAGAAGCTGTGGCTGCCCCATCCCTGGCAGTGTTCAAGGCCAGGTTGGACACAGGGGCTTGGAGCAAGCTGCTCCAGTGGAAGGGGTCCCTGCCTGTGGCAGGAGTTGGGACCGGATCAGCTTTAAGGTCCCTTCCAACCCAAACCAGGCTGGGATTCCATGAGCACTGCAGCGGCATGAGGCAGCCCCCGTTGGGTGCTGGTGCTGGGCAGTTGGTGCAGCACGAGGGGTCCTGCTCGGCTGAGGAAAAGGGCCCCTGTTGAAGGATATTGCGTTAGTGCTGTGATATTTCCGTGTGCTCCTGGAGGAATTTTCCCTTGCTGTGCTGCAGAAATCCCAGCAGCGATTCAACAAGGAAAATGCAAATAAGGTCACTTCTCCCCTGCAGGGCTGCAGGATGCCCTGGGAGAAAGCCACGTCCTTGCTCGTCAGGAGTATTAGTTCAGCTACATGTGCTTTTATTCTAAAATAACCCTGTGTTGCTTTTGGGGTTTTTTGTTTGTTTTAAGCCTGATTATTATTTCTGGTTTGCTCTGCTCAGGCCACAGAGGCATTACAATTAACTATTAGAATGACTCCCACTGCTGGCTGGTTCCTGGGATGCTGGGTCAACCCCAGAGGCATGGCTATGCATTCCAGTGCAGACGGGCTCATGCTTACCGCAGCATGGAGTAGCATCTCCTGCCTGCCAACAGCCCTCCTTGGCCACAACCTCATCTGGCAGCTGCCGTTGAACGCAGCGGGGAGCAGCAGCAATGGGTTGGACGTTCACGTCTGGGTCCTTTCCAATTCCGGCCAGATTCCCAACGAAGAGGAGTCTCAAACCCGCTGCGTAGCTGCTGCAAACGAACACGCGCAGGCAGCCGTGGGGAGGAAAGCAGTGCCACAAAAGCCTCATTTCCCAGGAATCCACACTGATCCACTCCATGTAAGCACGAGCTGCAGCAGCTGCCAACCCGCTGTAGCTGCTGCTCTTACCTTAGTGTGTGTGGGTACCACATTACCATGGATTAACCAGTTTCACCCCTCAGTCATCCGAGCAAGAAGGAAGGCACCAGGGTTTACATCCTAAAGGCTGCCTAGGAGGAGCTTAGCTAAACCTGATGAGACCGAGGCAGCAGGGTGGGTTACCCATATTACCATTTTTCTTTCATCTTTTTCCAGGCTAAGGATTCCATAGTTCCTCTCTTATTCCTATGAGGTTAAACAAAAGGATCAGAGCACGAAGGGGAATTAAATGGGGTAAAGTGAGACACGATATTAGTCCTGCCACAGAGCTCAGGCTTCTTACGAAGCTGATGTATTGCCACTTGTCAGCCCTGCCTCTACAAGTTGAGGCCAGGCAATAATCCTGCCACTCTTTCTTTCCTGCTGACGGTGCTGGGCAATGAGCAATTACTGCCCTCTGTTAGCACAGAAATCCGATTGATTTTTAGGGCTACAGAGCTGGGTCGGTGCCTTGTGCAACATCCTTCTGAGTGAACACGTGGCTTCAGTCAACAGCTCAAGCTGACCCCTGTGCCCATGAAGATGCACTGCTGTGCACCCATTCCAGATACCCTACTTTAAAGTTCATGAGTTGACGGGGGCACCTTAACACTATTTTGCAACCGAAGAGCTGATTATTGTTTTCCCCAGGTTTGTGAATGGTCTCACATTAAGATCAGTGGCAAACATCCCCTTATTATTTCTGAATATCAAGCAGGCTGAAGTAATCCTGTGAGTCATAAGTACACGATGGTGCTAAATGTGCCCAACGCCACCTAAAAGAGCAGGACAGGATGGCTCAGGCATTATCATGAGGGCAAAACCTGATGCGTTTTGCCAGCAATGGTGCTTTAGTCATGTTGGAATGGCTGCTTTACATGTCTTGGGATATAAATAGCTGAGAAGTGTTTATAAACACTTTAAAGTAACAGCGAGTACAAAAATAGCCGGAATGTACACATCACATTATTGTCTGGACCCTCTTCTACACTTTACTAACCTGGACACCCACTTAGTGATGGGAATGGAGTGAAGATGACAGGAACAAATCACTATCTCATTACCTTCAGTCAGTGCAATTTCTGCTCATTATTCTAAAGCAACCTGGGAACATCTGAACAAGCTTAACATAAAGAAAAGCATAAGAAAGAGGCTAGTTTTCATCTACCAAATGGTGTTCCAGACATCCCTGGCAATACCATATGCAAACACACTTTAACAGCCCGGCCCTCCCTGCAGATGAGAACCCATTGCTCTCCCCACACACACAGCCAGTTAACATTAACTACAGCCAATACAGCTGGTAGGTGACCCCAGTAACACCAGTTGAGGCAATGGCTTGGAACCAGCTGGTCCCACAGCATGGTGAGGCAGGGCTCTGCCCCAGGGCTCAGTCCTGAGGAACAGCTGAGATTCCTGCTGCCAGCATGCACCTCTGGGCATCTCTGGAGCTCCACCAGCAAAATCCCTGTCCCAGCACTCTCAGTTGCTGAAATAGGAAGTTGCTATTACCTTGTGTACATAGAGCTATTTGGTGCTGCAGGAGGGGAATCAGCTACCCTGGAATGACTGAGGAGTGCTTTGATGAAGATCTTCTCTGAGTAAAACAATAAATCTCTCTGGGAATGTAAGCCAGGGCATCAGGTTGTGTTAGGGAATTATTTCTAGGTCACTTGAGTTCACTGCGCTGCACTGCAAATCCTTCACTCACTGATGACCAGAGCAATTAATCACAACACTGGAGAGAAGCACCAACCTGCACTGGAGGCGACTCACTTTGCCCTGCAAGTGGCAGAGCTCGGCGGCTTTTAACCTGCTCTTTACCAGCTGCCAACACATGACCTTTCCTGCTGAGCTTCCCCCAGACTTAGGCTCGGGCTGGGGGGGATAAGGGTGACCTTTCGCAGCCTTGTTGCTCCTGCTGGGATCCTGTCAGGATTTGCCTCAAAATCAGACTTGGATTTGGGTTAAAACCCACCCCACCTCCACCCTCCCGCACTGCTTGGGGTAAATGAGCCCCTTGTTCTGTTCCTCTTGCTCCTGAAGACACAGAGCTTCCAGCAGCTGACACCAGTGACTGATCAGGTCCAAGTTGGGAACAAGCTAGAGAAGAAAGACTGTTCAGCCTGGATAAGAGAAGGCCACGTGGAGACCTCAGAGCAGCCTTCCAGTATCTGAAGGGGGCCTATAGGGATGCTGGGGAGGGACTCTTCATTAGGAACTGTAGTGATAGGACAAGGGGTAATGGGTTAAAACTGAAACACGGGAAGTTTAGACTGGATATAAGGAGGAAATTCTTTCCTGTTAGGGTGGTGAGGCACTGGGAGGTTGCTAATGCTCCGTCCCTGGCAGTGTTCAAGGCCAGGTTGGACAGAGCCTTGCGTGATATGGTCTAGTGTGAGGGGTCCCTGCCCATGGCAGGGGGGCTGGAACTTGATGATCTTAAGGTCCTTTCCAACCCAAACTATTCTATGATTCTATGATTCTTGCACGACTGAATCCCCATTGGTACAGCTTACCCAAGAGTGAGGTCTGTGGGGGATCCCTGGCGAGACTTCACAAGACAGGGAAACAGCCGGAGTCATGCTCATGGGGAGTTGCTCTATGTTGAGCCCTTTTTCTTCTATCACTAACTTACATGCCTGAGGTATGGCTCAAGCAGTCACTGCTGCACCGCACACTGGGTACCCTAGGTAAGAAAGGCTGCAGTAATTCAGACATGCCAACAACATGCACAAGCTTTTCCTTCTTCCAGTGCCCCACATTGGCCCAGCCCACGGCAGCAATGAGCTCCCCACCTTCTGAGCAGCCTGGTCTGGCTGAGACAGTCCCTGCTCATTGCCAGCGGTTGGAACTGGATGAGCTTTAAGGTCCCTTCCAACCCAAACCAGGCCGTGACTCTATGAAATACACCTGCACACCACCCCCAGCCTGAAACACCCGAAGGTTCTAACACAGTGAACACCTCCATGCTTTACCTGACTGAATCAACTCTATTCAGCCCTGTCCAATCTTTCATTTCAAGAAGGATGTATTAGAAAAGCCAGTTCGTTTCCCAGCTCTGCTCAAACGTGACTGAGGGAGATACTGGTAATCTCCAGCAGCAAGTCAAATGCCGGGAGATACTCCTTTTAAAATGAGGAAATAAAGGGGGAAGGTCTCACCCAGCTACCAAATGCGTTCAGAGGTTCATCACAGATCTGCAGCATCCGTATTAATCTATGATAGTGGCCTTTCTTTTTCTTCTCTTTTACTTTCCTTGGACTAGTCAAGGTAAGGCAAAGAAAACCAAAGGGACTGGGACAGGGATTAAGCCCCCAAAGCACTGCTTTATAGCACCACTGGTTGGGGTTTGGAGGGGAGAAAAGCCATACATTGGAATGTCTGCAACCAAACAATAAAACCCAAGCTTATAAGCAAATGGTGCAACAAAACAAGTCTGGGGACATGAGGGTTTTGCTGTTGGAGCAGGGTGATTGTACTCGGTTCCATCATTCAACTGTCGGTATGAAACATTGTGTGTGTGCTGCTTTTAAGCTGCTCATGTTCGCAAAATGCTCCCACAAATATGCTAAGGGTTTTTTGTTAGTGCTTTACATACTATGCATTACTTCACATTCAATATTTAATGATCTGGTCTCAGCTCATCCCTTCCTTTTGTAAGTGACAGGCTTCCCCAGGGGGTTCTGGCATGCTCGGTTTGTATTTCCACACTCTGCTTTGCTTTTCTTTGTGTTCTGAAGGTAAACTCCCCAGAATTACAAAACCAGGACCAGGGATGGGGGCCGGTTTTATTTACTGCTGGCTTTTCAGGAAACACTGAACTTAAAATGTTCCAGGATCACTGCTACAGGAAAAGCCTCATGAGTAGCTTACATTAAGATAAAAATGCAAATCCCAGGAATGCTATTGCACCATCACACTGCTGTCAAAGTGCGATCCCTTTGAAAAAGCCCTTTCTGCACCAGGAGTACACACTGGTGTGCCCTGCCCCATCCTTGCCTCTTTTTTAGCATCGATGGATAGCATGGTCTCTGCAAGAGCCGCTTTCCCCTGTTCCCAGCCTGTGTGC